GGGGGCTTGTTTTTATATTTTATATAAAAAGGAAAATCTAATTCGTAAGGCTTTCTACGAAGCAGTGGAATGTAAAACAAACATTCTCTCTTTTTTGGAAAGGAAAAATGGAAGGAGAATGGGATTTGATCGATGTTTGAGAGAATTGTTTCTCTTTATGTGCTAGTTTTCAGGATCTCGCCTACTCTATGCGCGAGGCTTTTCGCGCACATCAAATTCATGGGGAGGGAAGGGATAGATGAGAGAGAATGGAATCAAATAAAAATGAAATCACTATAAATAAGAATTTAGAGGGGTAATCGAATTGGTCGATTGTTTAATCGAGAAAATGAAAGCTTCTGTTTGAATTCTTCCACTGATTTTGTCAAATCTTTATAGGATTTTTTAAAAATTTAAGTTTTTTAGACTAGATGGAGTAATATGTAATAAAATTATTTCTAAACAATTTTTACATATGCTTTGATCTCCTAAAGCCGATTAATCAAATAAATTTATTACAGTATACAGCTCTTTTAACAGTCGATTTCGTTGAGGGTTTAAAAAGCTCGTATTTACTATGAACCCCAGTATGCGAGGTTTTATGTCAAATTAAACATCTATTTATAAATTACATTCTTTAAAATTTATTTTAAATTTTAACCAATATCTGTATGTGGTTTTTTTTATTATTTTTTAATCCTCCCTTGCATTATGTATTAAATTAATAAAAAACCTAATCAACCATCAATCACAACACCAAATTAATTTCCTGTGGCAGTTCCTCATTCTTCTTTTTTATTTCTTAGCACCAGCAATTCAACACATTTTTGCTCAGTCGTCTAAAAATATCCAATTTCAGGGTCTACGAAATAAGCCTTTTGCGTCACTCCTTCCCCTTCCCTCTCTCAGTCCCTTTGCCTTATGCTTTGTTCATTTTTCTTATTCATTTCTTTATTTTTCAATAAAATCCCTTTTGGCTATTCCTATTCCTTATCCGAAAAAATCTTTTTTGCAATGTGAGGATTAATGAATCAAAATTTGGTGGAAAAGACGTCAAAAGAAAAATGATACTTATAGGCAAATAACCTATATTATTTAAGAGTATTCTCCTTATCTTTATTTAGAATTGAGTTTTGGTCGAGGGATTATAAGAACATAAGCTTTACGTGGGGATTTGTGCCCAAAATTGCCCCAAAACTACTCTCAAGATTTGAAGAGTACTCCCAAGATCTCAAGAGATAGCTCGACATTACAAGAGACTAATCTCGCCATTTCAAGAGATTAATCTCGACATTACAAGAGATTAATCTCGACATTACAAGAGATTAATCTCGACATTTCAAGAGACTAATCTCGACAGTTTAATAGACCACCTAACAGATATGTAATCCAATGATTCAAAAATTCCCTCAATTTTTATTTCCTTCCTACCTAAATATTTTTAACTAGTTACTAATTTTAAATCGTTTGTGGTTAAATAAAGGTCTAATTATTAATTTAAAAATTTATTTTTAGTTTAATCTAAATCCAGTTTATGACATCTCATCAAATCACTCAAATCCCCTTGACTTTTTTTCTTTGTTTTATTTTACACTTCAATGGGCACTAGTAAATTACACACAAGACAGCTGTTACTTTCCTCATTTTTATTTGGACCCCTTCAAAAGAAAATTTTTTCAAATCCTTTTCAAAGGGTCACACAGCCTTTCTTTGTAATATTTTCCTTGGCATTCGCGGATATGACGCCCAAGGCGCCCACCAAAGGCGCACAATTGGCCCTTAGCTGACGGCAGCCGTCCCTTTCAATTTTAAGTTCACACCAAACATCGAGAGAGTCTTTGGGAGATTTTTCATTTTATTTTTACGTAGAGAGAGAGTTGCATGTCTAATGACAATGATGTGAAAAAAAGAATAAAGCAAAAGACGATTATACGAAAAAAGAACAAAAAGTGCCAGCGGGAGAAAAATAGATGCTAAAATCCTTTTAAAATCTCTCACTTTTTTCTCTCATTTCCCTCAATCTTTCACATTTAACAGCAGTTTTGAAGGGTAAATTATCGGCGCTTAAACGCTTTTCCTTTGCTTTTCCCATGTTTATTTTGCTTTGACATTTGTTTTTCAATTCGAAAATAACAATTAAATTGCTAAAGGCGTTTTGCATTTTCGAGAAAATAATTTTTATATTTTACACTTTTCATTTTTTAATTTTGGAAAATAATTTGTGAACTAGTCCAAAAAATTCTCGGATAAAAATTTAGACGAAGGGGAAGTATTCCTCACTATTATAGTATAATTAGTCTCTAAACAGACTAGCATATGGACACGGATTTTGGTATTCGTATCCGGATATATTTGGAGATACTGCCGGATATCCTCAGGACTTTTGATATGATCTGTATCAGTATCCGAGAGCAAGTCTTATCGCAAAACCTTTGAGATTACTCATTTCAGACGTTCAACATTCTTTAGTGGTCCAGACTTTTCGAAGGGTACAAGCAGTTCAGTCCTTTCTTTTGGGTATTCTAGGCTAGTTCAGTTTGAAGAGTTCAAGCAGTTCATCTCTCATTCCAATATTTTAGGTTTATCGAACCTCCCTCTCATTTTTAAACACCCTCTTATACATTTATTCTCTCAATTCTTGGATTTATGAATGGGTAAAATAGCTTTTCTGAGTAAACAAAGAATACTCTTGCTTTGTCCCTAGAAGGTTAATTTATCTTTTTTCTATTCCTTGGTGACTTCATTAATCTCTTATTCCATGCTTGATGCACCCATGTATTTTTTTGTTTAACAAGGAAGTAACCAAACAATGAATTATTTAGAAGCTATGCAAGGGATCTGAAAGTATCTGACTTATTTACAAATATTTATTTAGTTCTAATTTTTTACTTAAATGTACATATCTTTGCTAATCCTCTATAAAAAATGAATAATTAGCTAATATATATAAGGAAGTTTAATATACCTAATTTTATGAGGTATATTATTAATCCTATACATATTGCAAACCAAACAAGATAATATAGTGAATAATCCCCTTTCGTATTCGTATTTTTTTATCCACTAATTCCTCTCATTTTAAGGGCCGGAAAAGCCCTTAAAATACCCTTGTCTGCATTCTTTATCGCCAAGTTCTGGACTATCCCACAAATTATTTTAATAAAAATTTGGGAGGTATAACTAGAGACCGGGCCATGAGACGAGATCTCGATCAAATCTAGATCGAGAATTTTTCGAGGTCTCAATTCTCTTACAACACTCCCAGTCCGATCTCTAGGTATAACCATACAATGCTGAACAAACGTGGTAATATTTATGTCAGTAATCCACTTTCTTCTGATTTTTATCCGCTAATTTTTCCGGGTTAGTCCATAAACTATATGTATTTTTTAATTTTCCTCCAAGTATTTTCCAAAAAAATTTTTTTAATTTTCCAAAGAATTTTCTATAAACTAAAAACTTATATTTAATAATTCAATGGGTGCTACATCATCAACATCCAATGGATTTGACAAAACCAGGCAAGTCTGCCCTATTAATTTATTCTTTTGTTAAAGTACAACTTTATTGTTTAATTTTATTTTTTATTTTCGTGGATAGTAACCTACGTTTCCGTCATTTTATTAAAAATTTTTAAAGTGCAGAATTAGAAAAATGCCAAAAATTATTAAAGCATTAAATTAAAAATTTAATAAAAAATATTTTTTATACTTGAAGGAGAATGTCAAGTGCCCTTGTTGACGATGAAAGTGAGGATAGAGAAAATTGGAAGGGCAATAAGGCACAATCTATGTACGATCTTCAACGTGAACGGTCCCTGGAAACTATCAAGGCAACTGCTGTGGCCATAAATAATTTGGGGGTTGTTGAAAGGAAGAACGAGAATGATAAGCTGAAAGAAGTCGAAATTGAGCAAACAAAGAAGAGAAGGTGGATTTTGTAGGGATAATAAATGAGAATAGGTCTGGGATAGGAGGATAGGTATACTGTATGAGAGATATGATAAGGGATAAAAAATGATCCAACTTTTAAATTTAAAGTCCGAGTCGTCGATTACTTATCACTACAAAACGAATTTCTTCCACTGATAAAACTAACAAAAATGCTCCTAATCCTTCAAAAACAAATTTCACTTCCTCTCCGAAACAAAATGGATCTATTACAACAGCAGCTTCTAAATCAGCCCAGCTTGCTTCAGCTGTGGTTTCAAATTCCCCTTCTCCGACTGCCACAAATTCAACACAGCAAAAGACCCAGCCTAGCTTAGCGGCATCTTCCGATACTTCCATAGACACATCAATTTCTTCCCAGGGGCAGAAGCGAAGACCGCTAACCTGGGCATGGCTACGTGGCCATGAAGTCAGCCTTTCATCTCCTTCCAACAATGGCACAGAGAAACGTTCAGTTTCAAATAGGATGACTTTGACGAGAAGGAGATCTCTTAAAGCTGGCAATGCTAGGTATTTTTAGATTAAAATCAATGAAAAATCTTTAAGTAAGCTTAAAATAGGTGACAGACGCCTTCCTTCTCTTTCTTTCCCATCAGTAAAATTACACGATTAAGTGATTGATAGGAATGTTAAGCAAGATGATCTGTTAGAATTAGCCCTTTCCATTGATTTCGTGTCATTCTATTTTGATCATCATCCCACACATAAAATAGGGATTTAAGTAATGAAAACAGACTACTTATCTCTCTACTTGTCTTAATAGTTCCCCTTTCCCTCTTACTCTTTGGCTCAAATAATTGACAGATAAATAGTAGATAATGACAACTGTCTTTACGTGGATTTCCAAAAATAACCTAAGGCAATTTAGATAACAAACTTTTTTTTGGAATAACTACATTTTTTGGCATAATAAAGCAATGAGGATATAAATAATTCAAATAATTGGTTATGTAAATATAGGAAAAAGCCTATAGGGATTAAAGCATTATAGGGATTTATTTTTAGTAAATTTACGTAGTTACTGGAATATTTACACAATTATTTTTGGAAATAGGAAATTGACAATTACTTATGTACTATTTTTCATATTTTTCAATTCCCAGTCTGATAAACCGAAGCATTAGCCAGCAGCAAAATGAATGGCCCTCTCCAGTCCATCGCCCATCTAATGCCAATAAGCTCCATAGTTCGACAAGTTTGGTAAATGCCCTTTCAAGACGTGCCTCGGTGGGTCGACCACTTCTTGCGCAATTAGGAGCACAGAAGTCTATTCGAAAATCGGATGCCGGACTGGCAGGCCCGTCGAACCCGATTTCGGCTAGTGGCCGAGAGATTATACAACTATGCTTTGATCAGCCTCATAACGATATTGGTAGTGTTAATAATTTAGGACTAAATTAGAGTTTGATTCAGGTGCTCGTATCTGTTCTCGAATGCTCGAAAAGAGACCTGACTTTAGAAATTTTGTTTATTCAATGGGTAAAGATCGTTGGCTTCAAATGACTACACGATTAAGACAATTTTTGGATAATGTTGTCAAAAGGGTTTGAATCTTTTCTGTATTACTAGAAAATAGGACCTTTCATTTCAGGTAGATAATGTCGAGGCTGTTGAAAAATTAGCTAGAAGATATGGTGAGGAACATGTAGAGTTGAAATGCTATGGTTTTAAGCCTGACTTTTGGGTTAGCCTAGCTGATGCTATGACTGTTGAATGTGTTATTCTGGATCAGGCTACACATCAAGTAGATTTGTTAAATGTTAAAGACATAAGGACTTAAGGACATTATGAACCCATAGACCATTATGAACACATAGACCATGATGATTGTACCATTTTGGATCCATAAATCATTATGACCTGACCAATATGAACCCATAAACCATTATGCACATATAGGCCATTATGAACCCATGGTCATAATGAAATTTAAAAAAGCTTAGAAAAATTTTTCTAGCCATCAGACACAATAACTGCATGGTCACTTCTCGTTTCATTAATGTTCAGTGCTGTTCGAGATGGATATTACCAGGCAATGAGAGCACAACGAATCTCTCAACGACACCGAAACGTTCAGCAACGCGAACTTTCCCTTAGATTGGATGAGGATGTAGATAGTGACACGGGAGGGCGTTCATTCTCTGGAGTGGAAAAAAGTGCTTCTGCGCATGAACTCCAATCCCCAGTCAAGAGAAGTGGCTCTCAAAACAATGCTTTTAAAGTTGCAGAACAAAAGAATTCATTAACTACTTGTGAACAACAAGTTGTTAAACTGGGTGATAAGGTTGGGTAAAAAATAATTTCCAACTACGGTTTATCTTTTTCTTTCAGAAGCCATCATCTCTACGTAAAGTGGAATTTTTCTAAAGCCGAGAAGTTTATTTTAAAAATAAAGGATGAACGGGTCTAACTTTATGAAGTTAATAATTTCATGGTGTTCCGATTATGCTGGAAAAATTTTTCCTAATTATGAGGAAGACTCACTTAATTATTTAGAGAGAGAAAAGGAGAGAATACTGTAGTTGGGAAATTTCTGGTTAAGTGGGTTAAGCCGCCTAATACAAGGGTAAAGGGACTTAGGTCCTTCCATTGAGTGTTATTATTAATTTTTATTTATAAAGGGTCAACTAAAAATATTTTTAGACACTATAGTTTTTAAAAAATATTTTGGATAATTTTCAGCATAATTTTAACAAATTCTAAATATATTTTTATATCCATTTCCGTTAATTAACATATACATTCTTTTTTCTATTCACATTTCTGTGCTTCTGAGAATTTTTAAGAATTATTTTTGAATGTATTTATGAACACAAAGTATAAAATTTATTTTTACAATTTAAAAAATTAAAAAAAAAAATAAAAAAATTTTAAACTAATTTTATTAAATTTGTAAGGTCACTTGATTAATTTAACAGACAAAAGAGATCAACGGGTTTTGATTAATAAAATTTTGGAGGGGAATAAAAATGAATCTAGTTAATGAACCGAGTTTTGTATATTATTATTGTGCAAATACAAAATACTACCCGAATTGGGGGATAAAATACTAAATATTATTGTTAATTACTGATAAATATTATTAATGGATATTAGATGGGAGCGATATTTGGGGACAGACATTTGCAGAAAATCCAGAGGTGGAACACCTGGTCTTGTTCAGTAGCATACTAGTGGTAGGTCTTGTCCATGTTCTTGTTCAATACCCTTCTAGTGGGACTTGTCCGGGGTCCTGTCCAGTATCCTTCTGGAGGGTCTTGTGCAAGGTCTTGCCCATACATATTTACGCAAATGCCAATCCGCAAGTGCCGCTCTGCCTTATAAACAATGAGGAAATGAGGGTTAAAGAAAGCTATAGTACTTATTTTAAGTGTAAATATGCCATTATTCTCCGTTAGAATTTATGAGGGCATTTTTATGTAAATCCAGAATGTTGAAGTGTATGAACCACATAAGGACTAGCTGGAGGCAATGGAGGAAGAGGTGAACATGCAGAACTTAATACACCTCCAGTTCGTTCCCCACCACACTCATCATCTTCTTCTTGAGTATTATTGTTATTTCCAGTGCCGTTGTTACCCACAAGAGGACTACTGTCGTTAGTCTGAGTTCGCCTAAGCAGTACATGAAGTAGGGATCCTCGAGAACTTTTCCTTTGCCTGATATTATCGCCAGCCTTCTGAAAATGAGTTTTAGGATAATTTTTAAGGTACAGACGAATTCCCACCTCGTCAGCAAATGACGTATTATTTCCCATTATTTTGCCACTCCTAATCGAATCAGCAATTGAGCAAGTTGATTTTCGCCGCAGAAGCGATGCTTGATGTTGCTGATCTATTAAATGATGATTATGATGATGTTGGGAATGATGAATATGGAATGATGCAGGTAACGGTTCTGATAAGGTTGGTGGTGGTAATGCAACACCATTAGGTATTCCATGGATATTATTGTTATAATTAGTGTATTGTTGGGTTTGATTTTGTATAGCTATTGAATTGAGCTCAGAAATAACTGATAATTTTGTGGAATGAGGCATTGGTGAATATTCTTCTTCGTGTTGTTCATGGTTATATTCATTATGTAACCAACTTTCTAAGGGGTGAGGTTCAGTTACATCGAATAAATTGTAATCAACCTGTAAAAATTATAGTCTAGACTTGTCTAAAAAAATTTGCAACTTGTGTAGTTCCCCCCCCCCCCCATAAGCTCCTCCCCTTTCCCAAATTTTTTAATTAAAAAACACCTCAAATTGATTAGTATCGGTGTTCAGCCTCATCATTGGCACAAACCGTTTTGCCCAATGTATTTCATCAGGCAAAAATGAAGAGCGTGCCTGAAATGCCATTCCAGTAGCTTCTACTATTCCTTCAACGGTCATTATCAGTTCAAACTGACATGTTCTTAATTTTTCCTCAGTAATTTCCCATAAGGGGGAATCTTGGTCAATAATATGCCGAATGACTACTGGCCATAATAACAATACTCGATCCATGCCTGTATCGTAACCAACATTCATGTCCTGTACACCGATTAGCTCGCATTCACCTCTCTAAAATAACAAGCTTATTTTTAAATATTTTTTGCTTAAAGTTGGTAGTGTTAACTAGTATTGGCCATTTAATAGCTCCAGCTCCGACCTTTTTCAAACCTTTTTCAAATTCTTGGTATTTTGTCATGGCTCCGGAGCCAGAAATTTCGGGAGCTGCTCCATGCTGGGGGTGGAAAATTAATGAATGATATCCCTTTGGGAGATTTGGATGGATTATGAGGGATATCAATGATTTGAGGAATATCGTGGATTTTTTCCTGGAGTCCGGATCCATACCCAGAACTGCTGGTGATAATCATTAAAAGATATTTTTACCAACATTGTTAATTTTCGTGGTTGCCATATACAACCGAACATGAGATTCAGCAATATATAACTTATGTTGAATATCGGCCAAACGAATCATTAGAGCAGGCCTTTGATCTTCATCATCAACCGGGCCAATAACGGCACATTGGCTAAAACGCATTTCTTGTTTTCGCTTCTTTGGCCTTAAGATTTTGGCTATCACAATGCCTGCCTTTAGAGATAAAGCGATATTTAATGTCTAAAAATTATTCTCTACCAGAATAGTTTGCAAAAGCACCCCAACAATGCATTGAAGCGATAAAGCGATATATGCAAGTGGACAGGATTCAGTCATGTAACGAGTTCCATAACCTATAGTGTGTTGACTTTCAAGGCTAAAATAGATTTTTTAGATCGGAAAGGTCCTGTCTTCATTAAAAAAATATTCTTTAATACTAGCCTGAAGAGAAAGGCACTTGTAAGGGAGTGAACATTGGCTATGCATTGATGCTGTTCTGATAAGTTCTTAAAGGAGGGGAATTTAGAGGGGATTCATTAGGGAAGGAATTTTTAAATTACCTGTAAATTGGCAGAGAAGTGTTGTATGGAATAATATATGAGCCCAAAAGTGAACCAAGAACAAAGAAAACTTCCCGAGAACAGTAGAAATATACGCCTCCAACTGTGCTCGATTACTAGGTGGAACCAATTCCGAAGGCTAAAAGGAACTTTAATTTGTCATTATCTCGCAAAATCGACAGACCAAATGCTAAAAGATCCTTGCAAATTATTTGGTCGGATAATGCATTCACCCTCTTTATCAACTAGACGAGGTTGTCGCCCCCTCCAAGCGCCAGCCCTCATCATAGAATTGGCAGCATATTTCTTGCCGCTTCGGAAGCAATTCCAACAATTATAAGCCTTTTTTGAGGCTGTACTAGTAGTAGGCTTTGCTATGTTGTTGGAATTGGTGGTAATTGTACATCTTTCTGATTGGGCCTTCTGGAAAAAAAAAATTTTTTTTTAATTTTCATCAAAAAAATTTGAAAAAATTTTTCAAAAAATTTTCAAAAAAATTTTCAAAAATTTCAAAAAATTTCAAAAAAATTTTAAAAAAATTTTCAAAAATTTCAAAAATTTCAAAAAAATTTCAAAATTTTTAAAAAATTTCCATAAAATTTCCAGCTAATTTAAGCTTTCCACCTCGCTATCCCGGAACTTATATGGTTTGGGTACTCTTTTTTTTAGCCCCGCCCTTTTTTCCTTTTCCATCATTATTCTTAACCCATTTTCTTTCTCAACCATCAATCAATTCAGCTGAGGTCAAGTTTTTGTTTAAGATTAGGGCTGGGGTTTTCGAGTCGGGCCGACGTTCAGTCATTTTTTCGGGCCACATTTTTATCGGGCCGGCCCGGCCGAGTCTTTTTCGGGCCTCATTTATTTCGGGCCGCGTCTTTTTCGGGCCAAAATTCAATGACCGACTCGATTTTTCGGACCGGGCCGGATCGGTCCCCAACCCTATTTAAGATCTACAATTTTTTTAATGATGTCAATGAATAAATAGACCAAAATTGGTCCGTGATAATATCTGAGCTGAGTTACAAGGGTCCAAAAATGTCTAAAAAGTGGTGCAATGGTCAATATTTCCAGAAATATATGATTTTAAACTGAAATAGATGAAAATAAGAATATTGATTCAAATGTTAATTTTTATTTGGATGACATTGGAAAGGAAAATTAAACTTTTCTTTGTTAATGTCTCAATTGAAAATGCCACAGGAAAAATTGAGTGAAATCGAGGAAGAAAGAAAGGCTGACCATTCTGTCCATATTAAGGTTGATTGATGATGGAAAAGGAAAAAAGGGCGTGGCTAAAAAAAGAGTACCCAAACCATATAAGTTCCTACTCTTTTTTTAGCCACGCCCTTTTTTCCTTTTCCATCATCAATCAACCTTAATATGGACAGAATGGTCAGCCTTTCTTTCTTCCTCGATTTCACTCAATTTTTCCTGTGGCATTTTCAATTGAGACATTAACAAAGAAAAGTTTAATTTTCCTTTCCAATGTCATCCAAATAAAAATTAACATTTGAATCAATATTCTTATTTTCATCTATTTCAGTTTAAAATCATATATTTCTGGAAATATTGACCATTGCACCACTTTTTAGACATTTTTGGACCCTTGTAACTCAGCTCAGATATTATCACGGACCAATTTTGGTCTATTTATTCATTGACATCATTAAAAAAATTGTAGATCTTAAATAGGGTTGGGGACCGATCCGGCCCGGTCCGAAAAATCGAGTCGGTCATTGAATTTTGGCCCGAAAAAGACGCGGCCCGAAATAAATGAGGCCCGAAAAAGACTCGGCCGGGCCGGCCCGATAAAAATGTGGCCCGAAAAAATGACTGAACGTCGGCCCGACTCGAAAACCCCAGCCCTAATCTTAAACAAAAACTTGACCTCAGCTGAATTGATTGATGGTTGAGAAAGAAAATGGGTTAAGAATAATGATGGAAAAGGAAAAAAGGGCGGGGCTAAAAAAAAGAGTACCCAAACCATATAAGTTCCAAAGAGTACCCAAACCATATAAGTTCCGCTATCCCCGCCCTCCAAATGTCTTTGTTTTTGATTTAATTCATTCGCTTTAATATTATTTTGTTGTTGATTATTGTTAAGAAGCCCCTCATTCTCACTTTCCCTCATATTTATTCGGTACATGAATGAGGACAAAAATGGGAAAAGTTTGAAGATTAAAAGATTAATTTGAATTTTGAAGTAGAAAAGGAGCAGGTTTTGAAGGTATTGTTTAATCCTTCTCAGGCGAATACATGCTGCCGGAAATTGATGTAGGGAATGATAGGAATTAAAAAACAAGAAAAATACAATAATCACCGGGTATCTAAAAATTTAATTTATGAAGTTTTATTAATTTAATAAGGTGTTTCTATAATACATAGTTAGGGAAAAACTCAAAAATATACAAGTTGCTATTTAATTTAAAAATAAAGACAAAGCTGTATCTCCCAGTAAATATACAATGGGTATTTGTTTGGTAGGAGATGCTGGAACTAATTGGAGCTTCTTGGTGCCCTACTTGGAGCTGCCAGCTAGAGATGCTGGAGCTACTTGGACCTACTTGGAGGTATTAGCTGGAGCTACTTGTAGCTACCAGCTGGACCTACTGGATCTACTTGGAGCGTTGTGAAGTAGAAAAAGGATCAGATGAGATCTCGAACGAAAATCAAGATTATCGAGATCGAGAATTTTAAAGCCATCTCATGCCTTACTCTCTTTATAGGCCCTATAGTTATCCTATATTGAGGTCCGATTGCTAATTTATTTTCTTTTAGCTAAATCAATATTTAATTTTAAAATTTTTGGATTATTCATTTATATGTGTAAAGTACTAAGCTACTTGTAATTTTATCTCACGCAAGCTAACACCTCATGTTAACCGTCTGTCACAAAAAATTTGTGCAATTTTGTAAATATTATTAGTAAAGGGGATAAAGGGAATGTGTCAATCAGTCTTGAATAGAAATTGAAAAACGTTCGTTTTTCCTATTGATAATGACGTCTGCAGGGTTTTTTGGTATTAGCAAGTATTTCCCATTTTTTCAATTAAATAGCTTATTTACTTTGTTTTTTATTCCCTTTTCCATTGAGGGCAAGTAAAAAATAAGGGGGAATATTGCAATTAGTTGTCTATTATTAATTTTGAATTTACTAATTATTAAAAAAAATATGTTTATTTTGAAGATAAAAAGCTCATAAAATTAATATCTGTTGGGGTGATATTCGGGATTTAATTTAGAACAGGAAAGAAGATTTGTAAAGTTCCAGAATATAAAGGGATTAACAGGTTAATTCGTAAAAAATCGCCCTTCGACAATTTTTAATATTTTCCCCTTTTGACCATTTTTATAGACAATATATTTTAGAGATATCGTGTATTTTATGCGAGTAGTCATTTTGGAATTAAATAAGAGACTGTTAAGGAAAAGTGAATTAGTCAGAGAAATGAAAACAACTAAGTGTGAGCAAATTATTAGTGAGCAAATTATCCTTCTTTATTAATTAGTGAGCAAATTATCCTTTTTTTACTCACCATCTAAAATTTATTAATTCAAAAGCAGTTATAGTTTTTTTGCCGGTAGAACTCCATAGCCTTTGTGACTCTGGTCCCAATGGTTTCCTGCCTTTGTGGCCTCGGTCCCATCGGTATTTCACGCCTTTAGTCCCGTAGGTGTTCCCCTCGTGACTTGGGCAAAATTTTGGATGGTCCATATGCCGTTTTGTATATGGATCGCCCCTCTTCGGAGGAGGCTCTTTAAGAAATATCTTTTTAAGAAATAGAAAATCCACTTTGCAACAAAGGCTTAAAATTTCTTCAAAAAATGTTTGTGGATTTATCAAATTAACGTAATTTAATTTAAACAAATTATAAAATTGGTCCTGGCTTTCAACAAATATTTTTTAAATATTTAGATTTGAAATAAAAAAGTTTTATGTTATTCTATGAAAATATAAGGTGGAGGTGCACCCCACCAACGTAATAAAATTGTTTTTTATTTAAAAATTTTAGAGCCAATTTTCTCACTGCGGGAAAAATGTCAGTCTGTCAGAAATTTAATAAAAAAACATTTCTACGACCTGCCAGATTCTCTCACCTTTTTTCTCTTGGAATTCTGATAAACTGAGATCGTTTGTTAGTCAACAAACACCCACACTATCTCTTTTTACACGTCACAATCGCAAGCTTGTTATAAATTTCTGTTGCTTAGAAACCAGCCAAAAATTTATATAAAAGCGTTCTTGAAGAACGTGAGGAAAAATACAAAAATTATATAACTATGGACTTTTAACGAGCATAATAAAATTCAGAGGAAAAACAAATTTTGATCTAAGAAATAAATTTAGATGATTAAAATCGTAGGTAATCTTTGCCTTACATGATTGGGTTCTGGAAAATCCTGTAAACGATCCCGTCTAAAATATATGGAAAATATACGATGGAGTATGCTGAAACAAATTTTGAAAAGCGAAAGACAAAAGGCGAACACCAAAGAGGGTGAAATTTTGGAAAGGCACCCGCTAAGGCGAAAGGCGCAACCCTAATATACATACAAGTCAGGTTCTAAGGGAATTTGAGGTTTATAATTTTGAAAAAAATTTTTAAAGATATCTCTCACTTGGATCGATTAATTGATAAAAGATGACACAATTCAGAGATTAAAAAAGTAAGGGGTTTTAATAATTTTGTTCGAGAATAACTATTAATCTGAATGAAGTAAGCGTAAAAATTACATACGCTGGCACTTACAATATTAAATAAAGTACAAAAACAG